GTGTTTTGGCTCCCAGGAGGGCACTTTAGCATGCATTTTGGCTCCCAAGAGGGCACTTTAGCACACGTTTTGGCCGTTTTAACACGCGTTTTTCAACACATCACTGATATGAGGTATATACTGTATATTCTTTCCTTTAATACAATTTTAACATCTTTTTAGTGTAGATTTGACCCTTTAGGGAGTTACATTACCCAAATAGTAAAACCTTTAACTCAGAGCAGTGTTATTTGTCTTATCTCTTAGTGTTACTGTAACTCTGTTTCGGGAGTTAAAGAAGGAACTCTGGCATAGTGTTAAATGTTTAACATTTGTAAGTGTTAATTTAACTCTGGAGAGTGCTCTGGGTTTTGCGCTGCCATCAACGTGGTGTGGCCAACTCAGCATAGAGGTGCTCCTCGCACATCCCCCCCCTACGCTCAGTCCCCACATTTAGAGCAGACTAGTTGTAACAAAGGTAAAAATGCAAATGTAGCAAAGTAAAAAGTAGATTACTGCCTCAAAAAATATACTTGAGTAAAGTACAGTTTACTTTTAGTACTCAACCTGGACTAAAATGATTAAATAAAATCTGTACAGTATTGGAATATATAAACACTATAAATAATTGTCAAAGGAACATTAATAACAAGCAGTATGGCAGCAATACATATAAACTAACCTAAACAAGAAGAAGGGAATGACTGTATGCAGGACTTTAATGGTACTGGGAAATAGTGGCAGAGTAAGACCTCTTACTTTCTCCTTCTTACAGACCAGCTACCTATCTGACAACAATCTGCCATCAACTTAAGTATGTTGCTCTCTCTCTTTGAGCCTTCCATTACAGCGGACGATGACGTGAACGAACTCACAGACGAGCAGATACAGGTTAACTGCACCAGTTAACCAACAAGCAGCAGAAAGTTCCCAAGTTGTGAGGGTGTATAAGCAGCTGTTGTGTGCTGCGTGGGCACACTGATGCTGATCAGGTTTACTCTGTTGCTATTGAAATTAAATGTTTCAATACTCTGTAGTATAATTGTAGTTTGGTCGATGCTATAAAAGTACTGAAGTTCGGTACCCATCTCTACATGAAGAGTACTAATTTCTTGAAAAAAAAAACTACTATTTTACCCCTCTGCGTTAATTGAAATCCATTACTAACCACTGCTGCAAATCATACAGTGTTTAAATACAAGCAGAACTTGAAAGACTTGACTAAACAATCCCATCTGAACTATTTACTTTTTTTTTTTTACTTCCCTTACAACCCATCAGAGAAGTCCCAAATGTGCTATAAGTGAAATTAGCAGAGCTGCTGAGCTCAGATGTCAACAGATCCATCTTCATGAGCACTAAGCAAATTGGTCAAAGTGTCAGGCTACTTTCTTATTAATTAGTCAATAGGGGTAGCTGTTTTATGTGGAATCAAAAATGTTGATTTTGTCATGTGTAGCCACCTCTTGATTCTACAGCAGATTTTGTGTTTCCACCTCTAACAGAAAAAACATCCATTGGATTTTCCTTAACACAGAGACTATGGTTGTTTGTCATTAGTGCGTTAATACTGAATATGTATCATATAAACAATACATAATGGTATATATCATCATATATGACATATCATGTAAAAATAATAATAATATATGATGATGACTTTCTGTGCGCTGTTGCCCTTTTTATTCTTTTACCTCTGCCCCTGGTGCTGTGCCCATAAATGCTCAGCCCACATGGGTGGACCTGTATAAGACACCAAATAATACAGCTGGAGTAGTGAAACTGACAACACAAGAACAGTTGCAAGTAATGCACTTCTTGTATTAGATTGCAACCAAATAACTTTGTTTTCTGTCCCAGAATCAGAACCAATTTTGTTGGCCAAGTTTAAGCATAAAGACATTTTAACTCCATGTTTTAATGCAAATTTGTTTATATAACACATTTCATCTCCAAAGGCAACCCAAAGTGCTTTATACAGTATGCAGGCAAAAACACATGACAACTTTTTTCAATATGGATGCTGCACATCATCACATCAGTTAGATTCTCTACAGTTTAATCCTTCAGTTCATTTTACAGAAACTATCAACACCAAAGTATCGTGTGATCAAATGAATGATTTGTAATTGATATATCAATCGATATCTTAGTTTTTAAGTAATACTCATACTGGTTTAAATTAACAATTTGATAGTATTTCTGCCTGTCTCATATAGAAGGCCTGTTCCAAATAAATGCAGGTTAAGTTAAGTTACTGAAGCAAATAAATGCCCGGGCTATTCACTCAAGTCTTACGGTAGTCAAAAGAAGAACAACAAAGCTGAACCAAGATGAACATAAAGTAAGTATTTTATAGGTGAAATACATATATATATTCAAAGTACAGTGTCATTCTTCTGAATTTACAGTGGATTTTATTGTACTGTGTATCAGTACAGTATGTTCCAATACATACGAGTACGTACAAAGGAACAAGATGTGAAGTCAAGAAATAAAGGGGGTACCTGGCAGGGTTTTTTTTAAACTATTGGGTACATATAACATTATTGAGAATTACAATGTGACAATTACTGGGCAACAATCTGGTGTTTGGGAAAAAATTAAAGAGAAGTTATCATTTTTAACTACCAGGTAACTATTCTAATATCACCAGGTACATGAGTGTGACCATCCATGAGGGCTGCACACAGGTCATAAACAAACATTGGGCTCTATCTTGCACTCAGCGCAATTGACTTTGTACACTGGCGCTTGTATAATTCCTATTTTGCACTCGACGCACATTGGAATTTTCCCTCCACCGACGCACGTCCTTAAATTAGGGAATGAACTTGCGCTCCGGAGGGCGGTTCAGCGAAAAGAGGAGGCGTGTTCCAGCGCAAACGTTCCCTGGTGCTATTTTGCTGTTTCAGAAAACAGTTCCGCCACAGACCAGGAAAAACCTAGTCTAAAGTCAGTGGCGCTTATTCAGATGCTATTTTAAGGGTGCAGACTTGAGGAGATGCACCTGAGAGGCAATAGCAACATCGCCACCCGGTCAAGACGGGCATTAATACTGTGCCGCATCCCGGACAGCTCCCGCTCCAGCATGTCAAACCCGGTTAGCTGCAGGAATGGGTGGTCCTCCGGCGTGTAGCGGGTCTGGATCCTCTGCACCTTGGTGTTTGCGCTGCTCCCTCCTCAGCTGGCCCTTGCGCACTGCTCGGCCCGTGCGCACTGCTCCCGAGGCCAGGGTCTTCTTCCTGCAAGCTGCGTTACATTGTTTTGATTTATTGTATGGCTGTGTTACATTTAGTTCATGTCAATAATGTCACTTCTTGGTCTTTTACAGCCCTGACGAGAATGTCGGTCTCGTCGGCAGTGAACCGCTCCTGGCGTGCGCCTGGCCAATCCGCCGTTATAATAGCAATACGCCATGGAACAAGCGCGCCTGCTTTTAAAGGGAATGTGAGATGACGCTCTGATTGGTTTATTGCACGTTACGCCCAAACCACACCTATGACTAATGTAGCTACTTCAGACCAACCCATTTTAGATTTGCGCTGGGCGCAAGAGTCATTTATCCCGCCGGCATAATGGCAACAGCGCCCGAGATCCGCCCACAAAGCTACTTGCGTTTTGCGTTTGATACTTGTGCTTCAGATCGGCAAGATAGGGCCCATTAAGTGTTTGCTTGTGAAGTGAGAGGCAGCTGAGAATGTCTTGTTTTTCAATGATCAAATATTAATCATGCTTTAGGAGAAGATTTAAAAGAAATGAAATATGTTGACAGGGAACATTTTGCAGACGCATTCATCTAAACATTTCTTTGTTTCTGTTTTAATTTTAGGCATCAGGCCAGATGCAGTCAATTTCAGAGTTTAGAAGTGCATATTAGAGCTTTGATCCGGCACAAAATATCAGGCCCAACCCAACCTAACCCCAAAAGATTCTGTGCAGGTCGGAACCAAGCCCAAACCACAGAAGCAGTTTTGTGCCAGAGCCCAACCCAGACCAAGTTTCATTGTTAATAAAATGTTGAATATATACATTTTTTTAATCAATTACTGTCCAAGCCTTACCTGCAAACCTGAAGTGCAGAGGGTGCTGACGCAGCATCTGGAAGGCCTCACAAAGTCTCAAAGAAACAGGGTGGAAGGTGTGAATTTTTTCTTCTGTGACATGTAAAAGGTAAATGGGCAGCACTTGTATACCGTGTTTCTAGTCACACTCAAAGCGCGAATACACACTAACCACCCTGTTTGTTGTTTCAAGTGTTATTTGATAAAAACAAGGATAATAAAAACAATTCAAGTTTAAACTGCTGTGTTAATTTTGTTAAAAGTCAAAATAAACCAAAGCCATTCCACATTTGTACAAAATAGCACCTGGCACTCACAGAACACACATGTAAGTTGTTGACAACTAAAATTAGTTTCTCTCTGTACCATTATTTTATAAAAAATGTATTTGTACTATGTCGTACCAGCCGACCAAGCTGCCTCAGCATGTTCAAACCAAACAATGCCCAAACACAAAGTGTATTTTTGACAAACAGTGAAGGAGTATCAACAGAAAAGACAAATAAAGCCTTGAGATGAATGAGGTGTTAAAGTTAGAGGCTTGTAGGAACTCAAAATGCACATGATGCAAAGTTCAATTTATTTCAGTCTGGTACAATTCAGGCCAAAATCAAAGCCATCACAACTTAGAAACTCTAGTTGCTGTCTTTAGAGTTAATACATTCTCTTCTAAAGCTACAGTTCTTCCAGTCCTTAACACTTAAAATAAAACATGAGCTACAGAATGACAAAAAAGCTTGGGGCATCTTATCAGGAATATAACATGTTAACAATGACATCACAAATAACCCCCACCCCCCAAAAAATTGTCCATCCAACGTCATATCTAATAATAATGTTACTCAACCAGTTTCTTTCCTCACTACATAACTTATTAACATGATAAAAGAAGGATGAATAAAAGGGTGGCCACACCTAATTCACATTACTCACAAATATTGTTTACGTCTTTGTTCTGAGCCTGATGTCATTCAACCTGCTTTGTGTGAATATATAAGCTGCTGTCTGTTCAGTGGAGGACATCAACTAGCAAACAGAAAAAGGATACTGAACAGGTGGAATTAGAGAGCATCACTTCAGCAACTTCAATCACTGCAGTGAAGGCAAGTCAACATCGGATAAAATCTGTAAGTATTGATATGATTAAAATTTGTTTCAATCAAGGCAGTTTGTCTTTTCTGTCTATCTTCAATTACATTGTAACTATTGAATCATACATTTGATCTTTATCATTGGTATGACAGTTACTTTATGTTAACAGTTTTCTCTGTGATCCTTTTAAAACATTTTCTGGAAGAAAATAGAAACAAGACTGATTGTTTAATTATGATGTGTAACTATAGCTAATATTCTTTGGTAAATTGACACTTGTTTTTTACTTAAAAGTTTCACTGAGTCTTATTCCCAAAACCATGTAGATGTTGATGGTAAAACAATGATAACCTTAATTTGTCGAAATTAACATTTATTTTTTCTCCAAATAAATAGTAGCAGCTTGCATACATATTTCAGCTAACAAAGTATTTTTGTGTTAAATATAAAGTGGATAGTTTAATGAAAGTAAGAAAATTATTTTCAGGATATAGTGTCACATTATATACAGTTTGGTTATTCTGTGATTCACAATGAGGTCTGTAAAGATGCATAAGTATAAGAAAACCGTCATATCTGAAAGCAAACACTGTTCTGTTGTTACCGTCTAAACTGAACTGAAAACTGATTCTATTTTTGAACAGCCAAGCACCTTCCAACAATGATGATGAAGATCTTTATCGTCCTTCTCCTGTTTGTTGGTGAGTTTAAGTAATTAATTGCAACAAAAACATTTTATGTTAATTTGTTTAAAGTATGAGATCATAATCTTACTGACTAGCTGCTCCAACGACAACAGCTGCCCCAACGACAACCACAGGTGCTACAACGACAACCGCAGTTGCTCCAACAACCAACACAGCTGCCCCAACGACAACAGCTGCCGCAACGACAACCATAGCTGCCGCAACGACAACCATAGCTGCCCCAACGACAACCACGGCTGCTCCGACTACAACAGCTGCCCCAACGGCAACCACAGCTGCTGCAACGTCAACCACAGTTGCCCCAACAACAACCACAGCTGCCCCAACAACAACCACGGCTGCTCCAACTACAACAGCTGCCCCAATGACAACCACAGCTGCCCCAACAACCACCACAGCTGCTCAAACGTCAACAGCTGCCCCAACGACAACTACAGCTGCTCCAATGTCAACCACAGTTGCTGCAACGACAATCGCAGTTGCTCCAACTACAACCACAGCTGCCCAAACGACAACCACAGCTGCCCCAACAACAACCACGGCTGCTCCAACTACAACAGCTGCTCCAACAACAACCACAGCTGCCCCACCACACTACCAGCAGCTGCCCAAACGACAACCACAGCTGCACCAACACCCACCACAGCTGCTCCAACTACAACCACAGTTGCCCCAACAACAACCACGGCTGCTCCAACTACAACAGCTGCCCCAATGACAACCACAGCTGCTCACTTCAACAGCTGCCCAACCACCACAGCTGCTAACAGACTTACAACAGCTGCCCCAAACGACAACCACAGCTGCTGCAACAACTACAACAGCTGCCCCAACAACAACCACAGCTGCTCCTGTCAACCAAGTTGCTACAACAGCTGCTCCAACGACAACCACAGCTGCCCCAACAACAACCACGGCTGCTCCAACTACAACAGCTGCTCCAACAACAACCACAGCTGCCCCAACTACAAACAGCTGCTCAAACTACAACGCTGATGACAACCACAGCTGCACCAACACCCACCACAGCTGCTCCAACTACAACCACAGTTGCCCCAACGACAACCACGGCTGCTCCAACTACAACAGCTGCCCTACACGACAACCACGGCTGGTGCAACAACAACCACCACAGCCGCTCCAACTACAACAGCTGCCACAACGACAACTACAGCTGCTGCAACTTCAACCACAGCTGCCCCAACGACAACTACAGCTGCTCCAACGTCAACCACAGTTGCTCCAACAACAGCCACAGCTGCCCCAACAACAACCACGGCTGCTCCAACTACAACAGCTGCCCCAACGACAACCACAGCTGCCCCAACAACCACAACAGCTTCTCCAACTACAACAGCTGCCCCAATGACAACCACAGCTGCCCCAACAACCACCACAGCTGCTCAAACTTCAACAGCTGCCCCAATGACAACCACAGCTGCCCCAACAACCACCCCAGCTGCTTCAACTACAAAAGCTGCTGCAACGACAACCACAGTTGCTCTAACAACTACCACAGCTGCCCTGACAACTACAACTGCTGCAACGACAACCACAGTTACTCCAACAACAACCACAGCTGCCCCAACAACCACTACAGCTGCTGCAATGACAACCACAGTTGTTCCAGCAACTACCGCAGCTGCCCCAACGACAACTACACTTGCTCCAACAACAACCACAGCTGTCCCAACAACAAGAGATGCCCCGACAACAACAGCTGCTCCAACGTCCACCAAAGCTGTCCTAACCACAACAGTTGCCAAAACGACAACCACCATTGGTCCAACAACCACAGTGGCCCCAGGAGCAACAACCACAGCTGCCCCAGGAGCAGCAACTACACAGGCTCCAGCAGCAACTACGACAGTGACCCCAGGAGCAACAACCACAGCTGCCCCAGGAGCAACAGCCACACAGGCCCCAGTAGCAACTACCACAGTAACCCCAGGAGAAACAACCACAGTAGCTCAAGGAACAACAACTGCTGCCCTAGGAGCAACAACCACAGCTGCCCCAGGAGCAACAGCCACACAGGCCCCAGTAGCAACTACCACAGTAACCCCAGGAGAAACAACCACAGTAGCTCAAGGAACAACAACTGCTGCCCTAGGAGCAACAACCACAGCTGCCCCAGGAGCAACTACCACACAGGCCCAAGTAGCAACAACCACAGTAAACCCAGGAGCAGCAACCACAGTAGCTCAAGGAACAACCACTGCTGCCCTAGGAGCAACAACCACAGCTGCGCCAGGAGCAACAACCACAGTAGCTCAAGGAACAACCACTGCTGCCCTAGGAGCAACAACCACAGCTGCCCAGGGCCAGGAGCAACCACCACACAGGCCCCAGTAGCAACCACCACAATAACCGCAGGAGCAACAACCACAGTAGCTCAAGGAACAACCACTGCTGCCCTAGGAGCAACAACCACAGTTGCCCCAGGAGCAACTACCACACAGGCCCAAGTAGCAACTACTACAGTTACCCCAGGAGCAAAACACCACAGCTGCCCCAGGAGCAACCACCACACAGGCCCCAGTAGCAACCACCACAGTAACTGCAGGAGCAACAACCACAGTAGCTCAAGGAACAACCACTGCTGCCCTAGGAGCAACAACCACAGTTGCCCCAGGAGCAACTACCACACAGGCCCAAGTAGCAACTACTACAGTTACCCCAGGAGCAACAACCACAGCTGCCCCAGGAGCAACCACCACACAGGCCCCAGTAGCAACCACCACAATAACCGCAGGAGCAACAACCACAGTAGCTCAAGGAACAACCACTGCTGCCCTAGGAGCAACAACCACAGTTGCCCCAGGAGCAACTACCACACAGGCCCAAGTAGCAACTACTACAGTTACCCCAGGAGCAACAACCACAGCTGCCCCAGGAGCAACCACCACACAGGCCCCAGTAGCAACCACCACAGTAACTGCAGGAGCAACAACCACAGTAGCTCAAGGAACAACCACTGCTGCCCTAGGAGCAACAACCACAGTTGCCCCAGGAGCAACTACCACACAGGCCCAAGTAGCAACTACTACAGTTACCCCAGGAGCAACAACCATAGCTGCCCCAGGAGCAACCACCACACAGGCCCCAGTAGCAACCACCACAGTAACTGCAGGAGCAACAACCACAGTAGCTCAAGGAACAACAACTGCTGCCCTAGAAACAACAACCACAACTGCCCTAGGAGCAACTACCACACAGGCCCAAGTAGCAACTACCACAGTAACCCCAGGAGCAACAACCACAGTAGCTCAAGGAACAACAACTGCTGCCCTAGGAGCAACAACCACAGCTGCCCCAGGAGCAACTACCACACAGGCCCAAGTAGCAACAACCACAGTAAACCCAGGAGCAACAACCACAGCTGCCCCAGGAGCAACAGCCACAGAGGCCCCAGGAGCAACCACCACAGTAACCCCAGGAGCAACAACCACAGTAGCTCAAGGAAACAACAACTGCTGCCCTAGGAGCAACAACCACAGCTGCCCCAGGAGCAACCACCACAGTAACCGCAGGAGCAACAACCACAGCTGCCCCAGTAGCAACCACCACAGTAACCGCAGGAGCAACAACCACAGTAGCTCAAGGAACAACCACTGCTGCCCTAGGAGCAACAACCACAGTTGCCCCAGGAGCAACTACCACACAGGCCCAAGTAGCAACTACCACAGTAACCCCAGGAGCAACAACCACAGCTGCCCCAGGAGCAACCACCACACAGGCCCCAGTAACAACCACCACAGTAACCGCAGGAGCAACAACCACAGTAGCTCAAGGAACAACAACTGCTGCCCTAGGAGCAACAACCACAGCTGCCCCAGGAGCAACTACCACACAGGCCCAAGTAGCAACTACCACAGTAACCCCAGGAGCAACAACGACAGTAGCCCAAGGAACAACAACTGCTGCCCTAGGAGCAACAACCACAGCTGCCCCAGAAGCAACAGCCACACAGGCCCCAGTAGCAACAACCACAGCTGCCCCAGGAGCAACAGTCACACAGGCCCCAGTAGCAACTACCACAGTAACCCCAGGAGCAACAACTACAGTAGCTCAAGGAACAGCAACCACAGTAGCCCCAGGAGCAACCACCACAGCTGCCCCAGGAGCAACAGTCACACAGGCCCCGGTAGCAACTACCACAGTAACCCCAGGAGCAACAACTACAGTAGCTCAAGGAACAGCAACCACAGTAGCCCCAGGAGCAACAGCCACAGTAGACCCAGGAGCAACTAGCACAGCTGCCCCACAAACAACTACCACATCTTCCCCAGGGATAACCACTACAACAACAACAGTAGTGGATGAAACAGTAGTAGTAGCTACAGCAGTTCCACCAGCAGCCTCAGCCCCAGAGCCAACAACTGCTGCCTCCTCTGCAGTCACGAATAAAACCAGTTTGCTTTTAGTCATAGCAGTTTTTACAGCAATTCTTTGCAATTAAGAACTGGACACGGACAATGGTCTAATTTCCACAGCATTTAGCCCCTATCCATAGGCTTACTATGTATTATTTATGAAGAAACTCAAGGATTTGTTTAATTTTTTCATTATTTATTGTGACTTCACCTGTGCTTTTAAATATGTGTCATGTTTGAACATACTTTATCTGTGACTTTTTCCAAATACAAAACCAATTTCATGAGAACAGATCTAATGTAAAGTACATGTTTTACACCAATTAAGTGTACTGACAAACATATATGCATATTTGTTTGACCTAACACAAGCTTAGACACACAACTTTTACTAACTGCTTGACACTGACAGAGAACCATATGAACCACATACAGTGAGCAGGCACAATATAAAAGCTCTTACATCTAATGTAATCAAGGAGAGATTTAATATCCATAGTCGAGTTATTTTGTATTTGATTGCATTACACTGTAAGGAACATTGTCTAGCATTCTGTGGTGATTGCTCTGTAGTGTACATTTGTATATATATATATATATATGTTAAAATGCAATATTTAATGTATTAAAGTGTAAAATGCAAATAACAAGTGTATTTTGTTTTTTCTTTTTATTTATTTATTCACATTTGTTTCTGCTAGGATTGTGTGGTAAACCCATGGTGTATAATAATAATTTTAATTCAACAGACAAGTGTAAGTAGCAATGACTCCTAAATTATACCAAAAACATCACACAAGGTAACCTTTAAGCATTTTAAATAGTACTATACCACTAACAATTAAACTGCTGTCAAGGCTAGGGTAGTGCAGTGTGACTATTCATAAAGCTGTTAATAATATATCAGGATAAATATCTAAGTCTTCATTGACATTACAATATGAGGCAAGTCTGGCAATTTCTCATGAACTGCTGGTCTTGAATAAAAAGTTGTGATAATAAAGTTATTGTTAATTAGTTCTGTATCACATTTCCTAACAAAACTATACAGGGCTTGAAAAGGAATAGGCAAACGTTAAGAATAAAACCGAATGCAAACAGTGCAAAAATGCGATTCTGACAGATGATATATTCAAAGATAAAATTTAAGATTGTTTTATTTTTTACTTATATTATTCTATTACTTTTTCTCAAGGGTCACCAGCAAGTTGATGTGCTGGTGACCTGGGCAAGATGACGACCAAGACTCATTGATGCACGTGAGGAGTGAAGGCTGCCCCGTGTGGTCTGATCCAACCGACGAGCTACTGTAACTCAAACTGCTGAAACAGTTCTGATAGAAAGAGGTCAGAACACACAGTGCAGAGCAGTCTGTTGGTATGGGACCACCAGGGTGCCCAGGTGCTCACAATGTTATGGCTGATCGGTATATGTTTTACTATGCTCTTTTAAACTGTTGTTTTTATTTTGAACTGTGCTGTTTTAACTTTGAATTGTGTTGTTTTATCTTTGAACTGTCTTGCTTGTAACTACTCCGTACAACACCTTGAATCTACCTTTGTGCATTATGTGCTTTATAAATAAAAATGCTTTGCCTTGCCAGTACATACATGTACATACAAAGGAAGAATATGGGAAGTTAAGAAATGATGGGGTAACTGGGTAGTAATTTAAACTGTAAGTATTTTTTTTGTAATAGATACATATTCTGTTATTAACAATCTGGTGTTTGGGGGAAATTTAAAGAGAACTTACAATACATGCGATATAAGTATTTTTAACTACCCAGTAATTTTGAGTATATTTTATTGCTAATTCTCTTACAATTTTGAATGTAGGTCTTCAGTATTTCTATGAAACGAAATATGTTGACAGGGAACATTTTGCAGACGCATTCATCTAAACATTTCTTTGTTTCTGTTTTAATTTTAGGCATCAGGCCAGATGCAGTCAATTTCAGAGTTTAGAAGTGCATATTAGAGCTTTGATCCGGCAAAAAATATCAGTCCCAACCCAACCTAACCCCCAAAAGATTCTGTGCAGGTCGGAACCAAGCCCAAACCACGGAAGCAGTTTTGTGCCAGAGCCCAACCCAGACCAAGTTTCAATGTTAATAAAATGTTGAATATATACATTTTTTTAATCAATTACTGTCCAAGCCTTACCTGCAAACCTGAAGTGCAGAGGGTGCTGACGCAGCATCTGGAAGGCCTCACAAAGTCTCAAAGAAACAGGGTGGAAGGTGTGAATTTTTTCTTCTGTGACATGTAAAAGGTAAATGGGCAGCACTTGTATACCGTGTTTCTAGTCACACTCAAAGCGCGAATACACACTAACCACCCTGTTTGTTGTTTCAAGTGTTATTTGATAAAAACAAGGATAATAAAAACAATTCAAGTTTAAACTGCTGTGTTAATTTTGTTAAAAGTCAAAATAAACCAAAGCCATTCCACATTTGTACAAAATAGCACCTGGCAGTCACAGAACACACATGTAAGTTGTTGACAACTAAAATTAGTTTCTCTCTGTACCATTATTTTATAAAAAATGTATTTGTACTATGTCGTACCAGCCGACCAAGCTGCCTCAGCATGTTCAAACCAAACAATGCCCAAACACAAAGTGTATTTTTGACAAACAGTGAAGGAGTATCAACAGAAAAGACAAATAAAGCCTTGAGATGAATGAGGTGTTAAAGTTAGAGGCTTGTAGGAACTCAAAATGCACATGATGCAAAGTTCAATTTATTTCAGTCTGGTACAATTCAGGCCAAAATCAAAGCCATCACAACTTAGAAACTCTAGTTGCTGTCTTTAGAGTTAATACATTCTCTTCTAAAGCTACAGTACTTCCAGTCCTTAACACTTAGGCTTAAAATAAAACATGAGCTGCAGAATGACAAAAAAGCTTGGGGCATCTTATCAGGAATATAACATGTTAACAATGACATCACAAATAACCCCCACCCCCCAAAAAATCGTCCATCCAACGTCATATCTAATAATAATGTTACTCAACCAGTTTATTTCCTCACTACATAACTTATTAACAGAATAAAAGAAGGATGAATAAAAGGGTGGCCACACCTAATTCACATTACTCACAAATATTGTTTACGTCTTTGTTCTGAGCCTGATGTCATTCAACGTGCTTTGTGTGAATATATAAGCTGCTGTCTGTTCAGTGGAGGACATCAACTAGCAAACAGAAAAAGGATACTGAACAGGTGGAATTAGAGAGCATCACTTCAGCAACTTCAATCACTGCAGTGAAGGCAAGTCAACATCGGATAAAATCTGTAAGTATTGATATGATTAATATTTGTTCAGTGTCAATCAAGGCAGTTTGTCTTTTCTGTCTATCTTCAATTACATTGTAACTATTGAATCATACATTTGATCTTTATCATTGGTATGACAGTTACTTTATGTTAACAGTTTTCTCTGTGATCCTTTTAAAACATTTTCTGGAAGAAAATAGAAACAAGACTGATTGTTTAATTATGATGTGTAACTATAGCTAATATTCTTTGGTAAATTGACACTTGTTTTTTACTTAAAAGTTTCACTGAGTCTTATTCCCAAAACCATGTAGATGTTGATGGTAAAACAATGATAACCTTAATTTGTCGAAATTAACATTTATTTTTTCTCCAAATAAATAGTAGCAGCTTGCATACATATTTCAGCTAACAAAGTATTTTTGTGTTAAATATAAAGTGGATAGTTTAATGAAAGTAAGAAAATTATTTTCAGGATATAGTGTCACATTATATACAGTTTGGTTATTCTGTGATTCACAATGAGGTCTGTAAAGATAAGTAAGTATAAGAAAACCGTCATATCTGAAAGCAAACACTGTTCTGTTGTTACCGTCTAAACTGAACTGAAAACTGATTCTATTTTTGAACAGCCAAGCACCTTCCAACAATGATGATGAAGATCTTTATCGTCCTTCTCCTGTTTGTTGGTGAGTTTAAGTAATTAATTGCAACAAAAACATTTTATGTTAATTTGTTTAAAGTATGAGATCATAATCTTACTGACTAGCTGCTCCAACGACAACAGCTGCCCCAACGACAACCACAGGTGCTACAACGACAACCGCAGTTGCTCCAACAACCAACACAGCTGCCCCAACGACAACAGCTGCCGCAACGACAACCATAGCTGCCCCAACGACAACCACGGCTGCTCCGACTACAACAGCTGCCCCAACGGCAACCACAGCTGCTGCAACGTCAACCACAGTTGCCCCAACAACAACCACAGCTGCCCCAACAACAACCACGGCTGCTCCAACTACAACAGCTGCCCCAATGACAACCACAGCTGCCCCAACAACCACCACAGCTGCTCAAACTTCAACAGCTGCCCCAACGACAACTACAGCTGCTCCAATGTCAACCACAGTTGCTGCAACGACAATCGCAGTTGCCCCAACAACAACCACGGCTGCTCCAACTACAACAGCTGCCCCAATGACAACCACAGCTGCCCCAACAACCACCACAGCTGCTCAGACTTCAACAGCTGCCCAAACGACAACTACAGCTGCTGCAACGACAACCACAGTTGCTCTAACAACTACAACAGCTGCCCCAACAACAACCACAGCCGCTCCAACTACAACAGCTGCCCCAACGACAACTACAGCTGCTCCAATGTCAACCACAGTTGCTGCAACGACAATCGCAGTTGCTCCAACAACAACCACAGCTGCCCCAACAACAACCATGGCTGCTCCAACTACAACAGCTGCCCCAATGACAACCACAGCTGCACCAACACCCACCACAGCTGCTCCAACTACAACAGCTGCCCCAACGACAACCACAGCTGCCCCAACAACCACCACAGCTGCTCAAACTACAACAGCTGCCCAAACGACAACCACAGCTGCCCCAACAACAACCACGGCTGCTCCAACTACAACAGCTGCTCCAACAACAACCACAGCTGCCCCAACTACAACAGCTGCCCCAACGACAACCACAGCTGCACCAACACCCACCACAGCTGCTCCAACTACAACCACAGTTGCCCCAACGACAACCACGGCTGCTCCAACTACAACAGCTGCCCTAACGACAACCACGGCTGGTGCAACAACAACCACTACAGCCGCTCCAACTACAACAGCTGCCACAACGACAACTACAGCTGCTGCAACTTCAACCACAGCTGCCCCAACGACAACTACAGCTGCTCCAACGTCAACCACAGTTGCTCCAACAACAGCCACAGCTGCCCCAACAACAACCACGGCTGCTCCAACTACAACAGCTGCCCCAACGACAACCACAGCTGCCCCAACAACCACAACAGCTTCTCCAACTACAACAGCTGCCCCAATGACAACCACAGCTGCCCCAACAACCACCACAGCTGCTCAAACTTCAACAGCTGCCCCAATGACAACCACAGCTGCCCCAACAACCACCCCAGCTGCTTCAACTACAAAAGCTGCTGCAACGACAACCACAGTTGCTCTAACAACTACCACAGCTGCCCTGACAACTACAACTGCTGCAACGACAACCACAGTTGCTCCAACAACAACCACAGCTGCCCCAACAACCACTACAGCTGCTGCAATGACAACCACAGTTGTTCCAGCAACTACCGCAGCTGCCCCAACGACAACTACACTTGCTCCAACAACAACCACAGCTGTCCCAACAACAAGAGATGCCCCGACAACAACAGCTGCTCCAACGTCCACCAAAGCTGTCCTAACCACAACAGTTGCCAAAACGACAACCACCATTGGTCCAACAACCACAGTGGCCCCAGGAGCAACAACCACAGCTGCCCCAGGAGCAGCAACTACACAGGCTCCAGCAGCAACTACGACAGTGACCCCAGGAGCAACAACCACAGCTGCCCCAGGAGCAACAGCCACACAGGCCCCAGTAGCAACTACCACAGTAACCCCAGGAGAAACAACCACAGTAGCTCAAGGAACAACAACTGCTGCCCTAGGAGCAACAACCACAGCTGCCCCAGGAGCAACTACCACACAGGCCCAAGTAGCAACAACCACAGTAAACCCAGGAGCAGCAACCACAGTAGCTCAAGGAACAACCACTGCTGCCCTAGGAGCAACAACCACAGCTGCGCCAGGAGCAACAACCACAGCTGCGCCAGGAGCAACCACCACACAGGCCCCAGTAGCAACCACCACAATAACCGCAGGAGCAACAACCACAGTAGCTCAAGGAACAACCACTGCTGCCCTAGGAGCAACAACCACAGTTGCCCCAGGAGCAACTACCACACAGGCCCAAGTAGCAACTACTACAGTTACCCCAGGAGCAACAACCACAGCTGCCCCAGGAACAACCACCACACAGGCCCCAGTAGCAACCACCACAATAACCGCAGGAGCAACAACCACAGTAGCTCAAGGAACAACCACTGCTGCCCTAGGAGCAACAACCACAGTTGCCCCAGGAGCAACTACCACACAGGCCCAAGTAGCAACTACTACAGTTACCCCAGGAGCAACAACCACAGCTGCCCCAGGAGCAACCACCACACAGGCCCCAGTAGCAACCACCACAGTAACTGCAGGAGCAACAACCACAGTAGCTCAAGGAACAACCACTGCTGCCCTAGGAGCAACAACCACAGTTGCCCCAGGAGCAACTACCACACAGGCCCAAGTAGCAACTACTACAGTTACCCCAGGAGCAACAACCATAGCTGCCCCAGGAGCAACCACCACACAGGCCCCAGTAGCAACCACCACAGTAACTGCAGGAGCAACAACCACAGTAGCTCAAGGAACAACAACTGCTGCCCTAGAAACAACAACCACAACTGCCCTAGGAGCAACTACCACACAGGCCCAAGTAGCAACTACCACAGTAACCCCAGGAGCAACAACCACAGTAGCTCAAGGAACAACAACTGCTGCCCTAGGAGCAACAACCACAGCTGCCCCAGGAGCAACTACCACACAGGCCCAAGTAGCAACAACCACAGTAAACCCAGGAGCAACAACCACAGCTGCCCCAGGAGCAACAGCCACAGAGGCCCCAGGAGCAACCACCACAGTAACCCCAGGAGCAACAACCACAGTAGCTCAAGGAACAACAACTGCTGCCCTAGGAGCAACAACCACAGCTGCCCCAGGAGCAACCACCACAGTAACCGCAGGAGCAACAACCACAGCTGCCCCAGTAGCAACCACCACAGTAACCGCAGGAGCAACAACCACAGTAGCTCAAGGAACAACCACTGCTGCCCTAGGAGCAACAACCACAGTTGCCCCAGGAGCAACTACCACACAGGCCCAAGTAGCAACTACCACAGTAACCCCAGGAGCAACAACCACAGCTGCCCCAGGAGCAACCACCACACAGGCCCCAGTAGCAACCACCACAGTAGCTCAAGGAACAACAACTGCTGCCCTAGAAGCAACAACCACAGCTGCCCCAGGAGCAACTACCACACAGGCCCAAGTAGCAACTACCACAGTAACCCCAGGAGCAACAACGACAGTAGCCCAAGGAACAACAACTGCTGCCCTAGGAGCAACAACCACAGCTGCCCCAGAAGCAACAGCCACACAGGCCCCAGTAGCAACAACCACAGCTGCCCCAGGAGCAACAGTCACACAGGCCCCAGTAGCAACAACCACAGTAACCCCAGGAGCAACAACTACAGTAGCTCAAGGAACAGCAACCACAGTAGCCCCAGGAGCAACAACCACAGCTGCCCCAGGAGCAACAGTCACCACAGGCCCCGGTAGCAACTACCACAGTAACCCCAGGAGCAACAACTACAGTAGCTCAAGGAACAGCAACCACAGTAGCCCCAGGAGCAACAGCCACAGTAGACCCAGGAGCAACTACACAGTAACCCCAGGAGCAACAACCACAGCTGCCCCAGTAACAACCACCACAGTAACCGCAGGAGCAACAACCACAGTAGCTCAAGGAACAACAACTGCTGCCCTAGGAGCAACAACCACAGCTGCCCCAGGAGCAACTACCACACAGGCCCAAGTAGCAACTACCACAGTAACCCCAGGAGCAACAACGACAGTAGCCCAAGGAACAACAACTGCTGCCCTAGGAGCAACAACCACAGCTGCCCCAGAAGCAACAGCCACACAGGCCCCAGTAGCAACAACCACAGCTGCCCCAGGAGCAACAGTCACACAGGCCCCAGTAGCAACTACCACAGTAACCCCAGGAGCAACAACTACAGTAGCTCAAGGAACAGCAACCACAGTAGCCCCAGGAGCAACAACCACAGCTGCCCCAGGAGCAACAGTCACACAGGCCCCGGTAGCAACTACCACAGTAACCCCAGGAGCAACAACTACAGTAGCTCAAGGAACAGCAACCACAGTAGCCCCAGGAGCAACAGCCACAGTAGACCCAGGAGCAACTAGCACAGCTGCCCCACAAACAACTACCACATCTTCCCCAGGGATAACCACTACAACAACAACAGTAGTGGATGAAACAGTAGTAGTAGCTACAGCAGTTCCACCAGCAGCCTCAGCCCCAGAGCCAACAACTGCTGCCTCCTCTGCAGTCACGAATAAAACCAGTTTGCTTTTAGTCATAGCAGTTTTTACAGCAATTCTTTGCAATTGAGAACTGGACACGGACAATGGTCTAATTTCCACAGCATTTAGCCCCTATCCATAGGCTTACTATGTATTATTTATGAAGAAACTCAAGGATTTGTTTAATTTTTTCATTATTTATTGTGACTTCACCTGTGCTTTTAAATATGTGTCATGTTTGAACATACTTTATCTGTGACTTTTTCCAAATACAAAACCAATTTCATGAGAACAGATCTAATGTAAAGTACATGTTTTACACCAATTAAGTGTACTGACAAACATATATGCATATTTGTTTGACCTAACACAAGCTTAGACACACAACTTTTACTAACTGCTTGACACTGACAGAGAACCATATGAACAACATACAGTGAGCAGGCACAATATAAAAGCTCTTACATCTAATGTAATCAAGGAGAGATTTAATATCCATAGTCGAGTTATTTTGTATTTGATTGCATTACACTGTAAGGAACATTGTCTAGCATTCTGTGGTGATTGCTCTGTAGTGTACATTTGTATATATATATATATATATATGTTAAAATGCAATATTTAATGTATTAAAGTGTAAAATGCAAATAACAAGTGTATTTTGTTTTTTCTTTTTATTTATTTATTCACATTTGTTTCTGCTAGGATTGTGTGGTAAACCCATGGTGTATAATAATAGTTTTAATTCAACAGACAAGTGTAAGTAGCAATGACTCCTAAATTATACCAAAAACATCACACAAGGTAACCTTTAAGCATTTTAAATAGTACTATACCACTAACAATTAAACTGCTGTCAAGGCTAGGGTAGTGCAGTGTGACTATTCATAAAGCTGTTAATAATATATCAGGATAAATATCTAAGTCTTCATTGACATTACAATATGAGGCAAGTCTGGCAATTTCTCATGAACTGCTGGTCTTGAATAAAAAGTTGTGATAATAAAGTTATTGTTAATTAGTTCTGTATCACATTTCCTAACAAAACTATACAGGGCTTGAAAAGGAATAGGCAAACGTTAAGAATAAAACCGAATGCAAACAGTGCAAAAATGCGATTCTGACAGATGATATATTCAAAGATAAAATTTAAGATTGTTTTATTTTTTACTTATATTATTCTATTACTTTTTCTCAAGGGTCACCAGCAAGTTGATGTGCTGGTGATCTGGGCAAGATGACGACCAAGACTCATTGATGCACGTGAGGAGTGAAGGCTGCCCCGTGTGGTCTGATCCAACCGACGAGCTACTGTAACTCAAACTGCTGAAACAGTTCTGATAGAAAGAGGTCAGAACACACAGTGCAGAGCAGTCTGTTGGTATGGGACCACCAGGGTGCCCAGGTGCTCACAATGTTATGGCTGATCGGTATATGTTTTACTATGCTCTTTTAAACTGTTGTTTTTATTTTGAACTGTGCTGTTTTAACTTTGAATTGTGTTGTTTTATCTTTGAACTGTCTTGCTTGTAACTACTCCGTACAACACCTTGAATCTACCTTTGTGCATTATGTGCTTTATAAATAAAAATGCTTTGCCTTGCCAGTACATACATGTACATACAAAGGAAGAATATGGGAAGTTAAGAAATGATGGGGTAACTGGGTAGTAATTTAAACTGTAAGTATTTTTTTGTAATAGATACATATTCTGTTATTAACAATCTGGTGTTTGGGGGAAATTTAAAGAGAACTTACAATACATGCGATATAAGTATTTTTAACTACCCAGTAATTTTGAGTATATTTTATTGCTAATTCTCTTACAATTTTGAATGTAGGTCTTCAGTATTTCTATGAAACGAAATATGTTGACAGGGAACATTTTGCAGACGCATTCATCTAAACATTTCTTTGTTTCTGTTTTAATTTTAGGCATCAGGCCAGATGCAGTCAATTTCAGAGTTTAGAAGTGCATATTAGAGCTTTGATCCGGCAAAAAATATCAGTCCCAACCCAACCTAACCCCCAAAAGATTCTGTGCAGGTCGGAACCAAGCCCAAACCACGGAAGCAGTTTTGTGCCAGAGCCCAACCCAGACCAAGTTTCAATGTTAATAAAATGTTGAATATATACATTTTTTTAATCAATTACTGTCCAAGCCTTACCTGCAAACCTGAAGTGCAGAGGGTGCTGACGCAGCATCTGGAAGGCCTCACAAAGTCTCAAAGAAACAGGGTGGAAGGTGTGAATTTTTTCTTCTGTGACATGTAAAAGGTAAATGGGCAGCACTTGTATACCGTGTTTCTAGTCACACTCAAAGCGCGAATACACACTAACCACCCTGTTTGTTGTTTCAAGTGTTATTTGATAAAAACAAGGATAATAAAAACAATTCAAGTTTAAACTGCTGTGTTAATTTTGTTAAAAGTCAAAATAAACCAAAGCCATTCCACATTTGTACAAAATAGCACCTGGCACTCACAGAACACACATGTAAGTTGTTGACAACTAAAATTAGTTTCTCTCTGTACCATTATTTTATAAAAAATGTATTTGTACTATGTCGTACCAGCCGACCAAGCTGCCTCAGCATGTTCAAACCAAACAATGCCCAAACACAAGGGTGTTTTTGACAAACAGTGAAGGAGTATCAACAGAAAAGACAAATAAAGCCTTGAGATGAATGAGGTGTTAAAGTTAGAGGCTTGTAGGAACTCAAAATGCACATGATGCAAAGTTCAATTTATTTCAGTCTGGTACAATTCAGGCCAAAATCAAAGCCATCACAACTTAGAAACTCTAGTTGCTGTCTTTAGAGTTAATACATTCTCTTCTAAAGCTACAGTTCTTCCAGTCCTTAACACTTAGGCTTAAAATAAAACATGAGCTACAGAATGACAAAAAAGCTTGGGGCATCTTATCAGGAATATAACATGTTAACAATGACATCACAAATAACCCCCACCCCCCAAAAAATCGTCCATCCAACGTCATATCTAATAATAATGTTACTCAACCAGTTTATTTCCTCACTACATAACTTATTAACAGAATAAAAGAAGGATGAATAAAAGGGTGGCCACACCTAATTCACATTACTCACAAATATTGTTTACGTCTTTGTTCTGAGCCTGATGTCATTCAACGTGCTTTGTGTGAATATATAAGCTGCTGTCTGTTCAGTGGAGGACATCAACTAGCAAACAGAAAAAGGATACTGAACAGGTGGAATTAGAGAGCATCACTTCAGCAACTTCAATCACTGCAGTGAAGGCAAGTCAACATCGGATAAAATCTGTAAGTATTGATATGATTAATATTTGTTCAGTGTCAATCAAGGCAGTTTGTCTTTTCTGTCTATCTTCAATTACATTGTAACTATTGAATCATACATTTGATCTTTATCATTGGTATGACAGTTACTTTATGTTAACAGTTTTCTCTGTGATCCTTTTAAAACATTTTCTGGAAGAAAATAGAAACAAGACTGATTGTTTAATTATGATGTGTAACTATAGCTAATATTCTTTGGTAAATTGACACTTGTTTTTTACTTAAAAGTTTCACTGAGTCTTATTCCCAAAACCATGTAGATGTTGATGGTAAAACAATGATAACCTTAATTTGTCGAAATTAACATTTATTTTTTCTCCAAATAAATAGTAGCAGCTTGCATACATATTTCAGCTAACAAAGTATTTTTGTGTTAAATATAAAGTGGATAGTTTAATGAAAGTAAGAAAATTCTTTTCAGGATATAGTGTCACATTATATACAGTTTGGTTATTCTGTGATTCACAATGAGGTCTGTAAAGATGCGTAAGTATAAGAAAACCGTCATATCTGAAAGCAAACACTGTTCTGTTGTTACCGTCTAAACTGAACTGAAAACTGATTCTATTTTTGAACAGCCAAGCACCTTCCAACAATGATGATGAAGATCTTTATCGTCCTTCTCCTGTTTGTTGGTGAGTTTCAGTAATTAATTGCAACAAAAACATTTTATGTTAATAAGTTTAAAGTATGAGATCATAATCTTACTGACTAGCTGCTCCAACGACAACAGCTGCCCTAACGACAACCACAGGTGCTACAACGACAACCGCAGATGCTCCAACAACCACCACAGCTGCTCCAACTGCAACAGCTGCCCCGAAGACAACCACAGCTGCCCCAACAACCACCACAGCTGCCCCAGGAGCAACAGCCACACAGGCGACAGTAGCAACTACCACAGTAACCCCAGGACCAACAACCACAGCTGCCCCAGGAGCAACTACCACACAGGCCAAAGTAGCAACAACCACAGTAAACCCAGGAGCAACAACCACAGCTGCCCCAGGAGCAACAGCCACAGAGGCCCCAGGAGCAACCACCACAGTAACCCCAGGAGCAACAACCAATGTAGCTCAAGGAACAACAACTGCTGCCCTAGGAGCAACAACCACAGCTGCCCCAGGAGCAACCACCACAGTAACCGCAGGAGCAACAACCACAGCTGCCCCAGTAGCAACCACCACAGTAACCGCAGGAGAAACCACCACAGTAACCGCAGGAGCAACAACCACAGTAACCGCAGGAGCAACAACCACAGTAGCTCAAGGAACAACCACTGCTGCCCTAGGAGCAACAACCACAGCTGCCGCAGGAGCAACTACTACACAGGCCCTAGTAGCAACTACCACAGTAACCCCAGGAGCAACAACCACAGCTGCCCAAGGAGCAACTACCACAGCTGCCGCAGGAGCAACAACCACACAGGCCCAAGTAGCAACAACCACAGCTGCCCCAGGAGCAACTACAACACAGGCCCCAGTAGCCACTACCACATTAACCCCAGGAGCAAAACCACATCTGCCCCAGGAGCAACAGCCACACAGGCCCCAGCAGCAACTACCACAGTGACCCCAGGAGCAACAACCACAGCTGCCCCAGGAGCAACTACCACACAGGCCCCGTAGCAACTACCAAAGTAACCCCAGGAGCAACAACCACAGTAGCTCAAGGAACAGCAACTGCTGCCCTAGGAGCAACAACCACAGCTGCCCAAGGAGAAACTACAACAGCTGCTGCAGGAGCAACAACCACACAGGCCCCAGGAGCAACTACCACAGTGACCCCAGGAGCAACAACCACAGCTGCCCCAGGAGCAACAGCCACAGCTGCCGCAGGAGCAACAACCACACAGGCCCCAGGAGCAACGCCAAAGTAACCCTAGGAGCAACAACCACACAGGCCCCGTAGCAACTACCAAAGTAACCCCAGGAGCAACAACCACAGTAGCTCAAGGAACAGCAACTGCTGCCCTAGGAGCAACAACCACAGCTGCCCAAGGAGAAACTACAACAGCTGCTGCAGGAGCAACAACCACACAGGCCCCAGGAGCAACTATCACAGTGACCCCAGGAGGAACAACCACAGCTGCCCCAGGAGCAACAGCCACAGCGCCGCAGGAGCAACAACCACAAAGGCCCCAGGAGCAACGCCAAAGTAACCCTAGGAGCAACAACCACAGCTGCCCAGGAGCAACTACCACAGCTGTCGCAGGAGAAACAACCACACAGGCCCCAGGAGCAACTACCACAGTGACCCCAGGAGCAACAACCACAGCTGCCCCAGGAGCAACAGCCACACAGGCCCCAGTAGCAACTACCACAGTTACCCCAGGAGCAAAAACCACAGCTGCCGCAGGAGCAACAACCACCCAGGCCCCAGTAGCAACAACCACAGCTGCCCCAGGAGCAACAACCACAGTAACCCCAGGAGCAACAACCACACAGGCCCACGTAGCAACTACCAAAGTAACCCCAGGAGCAACAACCACAGTAGCTCAAGGAACAACAACTGCTGCCCTAGGACCAACAACCACAGCTGCCCCAGGAGCAACAACCACAGTAGCTCAAGGAACAACAACTGCTGCCCTAGGAGCAACAACCACAGCTGCCCCAGTAGCAACTACCACAATAACCCCAGGACCAACAACCACAGTAGCTCAAGGAACAACAACTGCCGCCCTAGGAGCAACAACCATCGCTTCCCCGGGAGCAACTACCACACAGGCCCCAGTAGCAACTACCACAGTGACCCCAGGAGCAACAACCACAGCTGCCCAAGGAGCAACAGCCACACAGGCGACAGTAGCAACTACCACAGTAACCCCAGGACCAACACCCACAGTAGCTCAAGGAACAACAACTGCCGCCCTAACAGCAACAACCACAGCTTCCCCAGGAGCAACTACCACACAGGCCCAAGTAGCAACTACCACAGTAACCCCAGGAGCAACAAGCACAGCTGCCCCAGGAGAAACAGCCACACAGGCCCCAGTAGCAACTACCACAGTGACCCCAGGAGCAACAACCACAGCTGCCCAAGGAGCAACAGCCACACAGGCGACAGTAGCAACTACCACAGTAACCCCAGGACCAACAAACACAGTAGCTCAAGGAACAACAACTGCCGCCCTAGGAGCAACAACCACAGCTTCCCCAGGAGCAACTACGACACAGGCCCAAGTAGCAACTACCACAGTAACCCCAGGAGAAACAACCACAGCTGCCCCAGGAGCAACTACCACACAGGCCTCAGGAGCCACTACCACATTAACCCCAGGAGCAACAACCACAGCTGCCCCAGGAGCAACAGCCACACAGGCCCCAGCAGCAACAACCACACAGGCCCCAGGAGCAACCGCCACAGTAACCCCAGGAGCAACAACCACAGCTGCCCCAGGAGCAACTACCTCAGTAACCCCAGGAGTAACAACCACAGCTGCCCCAGGAAAAACAACCACCCAGGCCCCAGTAGCAACAACCACAGCTGCCCCAGGAGCAACAACCACAGTAACCCCAGGAGCAACAACCACACAGGCCCCCGTAGCAACTACCAAAGTAACCCCAGGAGCAACAACCACAGTAGCTCAAGTAACAACAACTGCTGCCCTAGGACCAACAACCACAGCTGCCCCAGGAGCAACAACCACAGTAGCTCAAGGAACAACAACTGCTGCCCTAGGAGCAACAACCACAGCTGCCCCAGGAGCAACCACCACAGTAACCGCAGGAGCAACAACCACAGCTGCCCCAGTAGCAACCACCACAGTAACCGCAGGAGAAACCACCACAGTAACCGCAGGAGCAACAACCACAGTAACCGCAGGAGCAACAACCACAGTAGCTCAAGGAACAACCACTGCTGCCCTAGGAGCAACAACCACAGCTGCCGCAGGAGCAACTACTACACAGGCCCTAGTAGCAACTACCACAGTAACCCCAGGAGCAACAACCACAGCTGCCCAAGGAGCAACTACCACAGCTGCCGCAGGAGCAACAACCACACAGGCCCAAGTAGCAACAACCACAGCTGCCCCAGGAGCAACTACCACACAGGCCCCAGTAGCCACTACCACATTAACCCCAGGAGCAACAACCACATCTGCCCCAGGAGCAACAGCCACACAGGCCCCAGCAGCAACTACCACAGTGACCCCAGGAGCAACAACCACAGCTGCCCCAGGAGCAACTACCACACAGGCCCCCGTAGCAACTACCAAAGTAACCCCAGGAGCAACAACCACAGTAGCTCAAGGAACAGCAACTGCTGCCCTAGGAGCAACAACCACAGCTGCCCAAGGAGAAACTACAACAGCTGCTGCAGGAGCAACAACCACACAGGCCCCAGGAGCAACTACCACAGTGACCCCAGGAGCAACAACCACAGCTGCCCCAGGAGCAACAGCCACAGCTGCCGCAGGAGCAACAACCACACAGGCCCCAGGAGCAACCGCCAAAGTAACCCTAGGAGCAACAACCACACAGGCCCCCGTAGCAACTACCAAAGTAACCCCAGGAGCAACAACCACAGTAGCTCAAGGAACAGCAACTGCTGCCCTAGGAGCAACAACCACAGCTGCCCAAGGAGAAACTACAACAGCTGCTGCAGGAGCAACAACCACACAGGCCCCAGGAGCAACTACCACAGTGACCCCAGGAGGAACAACCACAGCTGCCCCAGGAGCAACAGCCACAGCTGCCGCAGGAGCAACAACCACACAGGCCCCAGGAGCAACCGCCAAAGTAACCCTAGGAGCAACAACCACAGCTGCCCAAGGAGCAACTACCACAGCTGCCGCAGGAGAAACAACCACACAGGCCCCAGGAGCAACTACCACAGTGACCCCAGGAGCAACAACCACAGCTGCCCCAGTAGCAACCACCACAGTAACTGCAGGAGCAACAACCACAGTAGCTCAAGGAACAACAACTGCTGCCCTAGGAGCAACAACCACAGCTGCCCCAGGAGCAACTACCACAGTAACCCCAGGAGTAACAACCACAGCTGCCCCAGGAAAAACAACCACAGCTGCCGCAGGAGCAACAACCACACAGGCCCCAGCAGCAACTACCACAGTGACCCCAGGAGTAACGACCACAGTAGCTCAAGGAACAACAACTGCTGCCCTAGGAGCAACAACCACCGCTTCCCCGGGAGAAACTACCACACAGGCCCAAGAAGCAACTACCACAGTAACCCCAGGATCAACAACCACAGCTGCCCCAGGAGCAACAACCACACAGGCCCCAGTAGCAACTACCACAGTAACCCCAGGAGCAACAACCACAGCAGCCCCAGGAACAACTACCACAGTAGCTCAAGGAACAACAACTGCTGCCCTAGGAGCAACAACCACAGCTGCCCCAGTAGCAACTACCACAGTAACCCCAGGACCAACAACCACAGTAGCTCAAGGAACAACAACTGCCGCCCTAGGAGCAACAACCACCGCTTCCCCGGGAGCAACTACCACACAGGCCCCAGTAGCAACTACCACAGTGACCCCAGGAGCAACAACCACAGCTGCCCAAGGAGCAACAGCCACACAGGCGACAGTAGCAACTACCACAGTAACCCCAGGAGCAACAACCACAGCAGCCCCAGGAACAACTACCACAGTAGCTCAAGGAACAACAACTGCTGCCCTAGGAGCAACAACCACCGCTTCCCCGGGAGCAACTACCACACAGGCCCCAGTAGCAACTACCACAGTGACCCCAGGAGTAACAACCACAGCTGCCCCAGGAAAAACAACCACAGCTGCCGCAGGAGCAACAACCACACAGGCCCCAGCAGCAACTACCACAGTGACCCCAGGAGTAACGACCACAGTAGCTCAAGGAACAACAATTGCTGCCCTAGGAGCAACAACCACCGCTTCCCCGGGAGAAACTACCACACAGGCCCAAGAAGCAACTACCACAGTAACCCCAGGATCAACAACCACAGCTGCCCCAGGAGCAACAACCACACAGGCCCCAGTAGCAACTACCACAGTAACCCCAGGAGCAACAACCACAGCAGCCCCAGGAACAACTACCACAGTAGCTCAAGGAACAACAACAGCTGCCGCAGGAGCAACAACCACACAGGCCCCAGCAGCATCTACCACAGTGACCCCAGGAGTAACGACCACAGTAGCTCAAGGAACAACAACTGCTGCCCTAGGAGCAACAACCACCGCTTCCCCGGGAGAAACTACCACACAGGCCCAAGAAGCAACTACCACAGTAACCCCAGGATCAACAACCAGAGCTGCCCCAGGAGCAACAACCACACAGGCCCCAGTAGCAACTACCACAGTAACCCCAGGAGCAACAACCACAGCAGCCCCAGGAACAACTACCACAGTAGCTCAAGGAACAACAACAGCTGCCGCAGGAGCAACAACCACACAGGCCCCAGCAGCAACTACCACAGTGACCCCAGGAGTAACGACCACAGTAGCTCAAGGAACAACAACTGCTGCCCTAGGAGCAACAACCACCGCTTCCCCGGGAGAAACTACCACACAGGCCCAAGAAGCAACTACCACAGTAACCCCAGGATCAACAACCACAGCTGCCCCAGGAGCAACAACCACACAGGCCCCAGTAGCAACTACCACAGTAACCCCAGGACCAACAACCACAGTAGCTCAAGGAACAACAACTGCCGCCCTAGGAGCAACAACCACCGCTTCCCCGGGAGCAACTACCACACAGGCCCCAGGAGTAACAACCACAGCTGCCCCAGGAAAAACAACCACAGCTGCCGCAGGAGCAACAACCACACAGGCCCCAGCAGCAACTACCACAGTGACCCCAGGAGTAACGACCACAGTAGCTCAAGGAACAACAACTGCTGCCCTAGGAGCAACAACCACCGCTTCCCCAGGAGCAACTACCACACAGGCCCAAGTAGCAACTACCACAGTGACCCCAGGAGCAACAACCACAGCTGCCCAAGGAGCAACAGCCACACAGGCGACAGTAGCAACTACCACAGTAACCCCAGGACCAACAACCACAGTAGCTCAAGGAACAACAACTGCCGCCCTAGGAGCAACAACCACAGCTTCCCCAGGAGCAACTACCACACAGGTCCAAGAAGCAACTACCACAGTAACCCCAGGAGCGACAACCACAGCTGCCCCAGGAGCAACTACCACACAGGCCTCAGGAGCCACTACCACATTAACCCCAGGAGCAACAACCACAGCTGCCCCAGGAGCAACAGCCACACAGGCCCCAGTAGCAACTACCACAGTAACCTCAGGAGCAATGACCACTGTAGCTCAAGGAACAACAACTGCTGCCCTAGGAGCAACTACCACACAGGCCCCAGTAGCCACTACCACATTAACCCCAGGAGCAACAACCACAGCTGCCCCAGGAGCAAATACCACACAGGCCCTGGTAGCAACTACCACAGTAACCCCAGGAGCAACAACCACAGCTGCCCCAGGAAAAACAACCACAGCTGCCGCAGGAGCAACAACTACACAGGCCCCAGGAGCAACAACCACAGCAGCCCCAGGAACAACTACCACAGCTGCCGCAGGAGCAACAACCACACAGGCCCCAGTAGCAACTACCACAGTGACCCCAGGAGCAACAACCACAGTAGCTCAAGGAACAACAACTGCTGCCCTAGGAACAACTAACACACAGGCCCCAGTAGCAACAACCACAGTAGCTCAAGGAACAACAACTACTGCCCTAGGAGCAACTACCACAGCTGCCACAGGAACAACTACCACACAGGCCCCAGTAGCAACTACCAAAGTAACGCCAGGAGCAACAACCACAGCTGCCCAAGGAGCAACTACCACAGCTGCCGCAGGAGCAACAACCACACAGGCCCCAGTAGCAACAACCACAGCTGTCGCAGGAGCAACAACCACACAGGCCCCAGGAGCAACTACCACAGTGACCCCAGGAGCAACAACCACAGCTGCCCCAGGAACAACTACCACAGCTGCCGCAGGAGCAACAACCACACAGGCCCCAGTAGCAACTACCACAGTGGCCCCAGGAGCAACAACCACAGTAGCTCAAGGAACAACAACTGCTGCCCTAGGACCAACAACCACAGCTGCCCCAGGAGCAACAACCACAGTAGCTCAAGGAACAACAACTGCTGCCCTAGGAGCAACAACCACAGCTGCCCCAGTAGCAACTACCACAGTAACCCCAGGACCTACCACTGTAGCTCAAGGAACAACAACTGCTGCCCTAGGAGCAACTACCACACAGGCCTCAGGAGCCACTACCACAGTAGCTCAAGGAACAACAACTACTGCCCTAGGAGCAACTACCACAGCTGCCACAGGAACAACTACCACACAGGCCCCAGTAGCAACTACCAAAGTAACGCCAGGAGCAACAACCACAGCTGCCCAAGGAGCAACTACCACAGCTGCCGCAGGAGCAACAACCACACAGGCCCCAGTAGCAACAACCACAGCTGTCGCAGGAGCAACAACCACACAGGCCCCAGGAGCAACTACCACAGTGACCCCAGGAGCAACAACCACAGCTGCCCCAGGAACAACTACCACAGCTGCCGCAGGAGCAACAACCACACAGGCCCCAGTAGCAACTACCACAGTGGCCCCAGGAGCAACAACCACAGTAGCTCAAGGAACAACAACTGCTGCCCTAGGAACAACTAACACACAGGCCCCAGTAGCAACAACCACAGTAGCTCAAGGAACAACAACTACTGCCCTAGGAGCAACAACCACAGCTGCCACAGGAACAACTACCACACAGGCCCCAGTAGCAACTACCAAAGTAACGCCAGGAGCAACAACCACAGCTGCCCAAGGAGCAACTACCACAGCTGCCGCAGGAGCAACAACCACACAGGCCCCAGTAGCAACAACCACAGCTGTCGCAGGAGCAACAACCACACAGGCCCCAGGAGCAACTACCACAGTGACCCCAGGAGCAACAACCACAGCTGCCCCAGGAGCAACAGCCACAGCTGCCGCAGGAGCAACAACCACACAGGCCCCAGGAGCAACTACCAAAGTAACCCTCGGAGCAACAACCACAGCTGCCCAAGGAGCAACTACCACAGCTGCCGCAGGAGCAACAACCACACAGGCCCCAGGAGCAACTACCACAGTGACCCCAGGAGCAACTACCACAGCTGCCACAGGAACAACTACCACACAGGCCCCAGTAGCAACTACCAAAGTAACCCCAGGAGCAACAACCACAATAGCTCAAGGAACAACAACTGCTGCCCTAGGAGCAACAACCACAGCTGCCCAAGGAGCAACTACCACAGCTGCCCCAGGAGCAACTACCACACAGGCCCCAGTAGCAACTACCAAAGTAACCCCAGGAGCAACAACCACAGTAGCTCAAGGAACAGCAACTACTGCCCTAGGAGCAACAACCACAGCTGCCCAAGGAGAAACTACCAAACAGGCCCCAGGAGCAACTACCACAGTGACCCCAGGAGCAACAACCACAGCTGCCCCAGGAGCAACAGCCACAGCTGCCGCAGGAGCAACAACCACACAGGCCCCAGGAGCAACCGCCAAAGTAACCCTAGGAGCAACAACCTCCCAAGGAGAAACTACCACAGCTGCCGCAGGAGCAACAACCACACAGGCCCCAGGAGCAACAACCACACAGGCCCCAGGAGCAACCGCTAAAGTAACCCTAGGAGCAACAACCACAGTTGCCCCAGGAGCAACTACCACAGTGACCCCAGGAGCAACAACCACAGCTGCCCCAGGAGCAACAGCCACACAGGCCCCAGTAGCAACTACCACAGTTACCCCAGGAGCAAAAACCACAGCTGCCGCAGGAGCAACAACCACACAGGCCCCAGGAGCAACAACCACAGCTGCCCCAGGAGCAGCAACCACACAGGCCCCAGTAGCAATTACCACAGTAACCCCAGGAGCAACAACCACAGTAGCTCAAGGAACAACAACTGCTGCCCTAGGAGCAACAACCACAGCTGCCCCAGGAGCAACAACCACACAGGCCCAAGTAGCAACTACCACAGTAACCCCAGGAGCAACAACGACAGTAGCCCAAGGAACAACAACTGCTGCCCTAGGAGCAACAACCACAGCTGCCCCAGAAGCAACAGCCACACAGGCCCCAGTAGCAACAACCACAGCTGCCCCAGGAGCAAACTACCACACAGGCCCAAGTAGCAACTACCACAGTAACCCCAGGAGCAACAACCACAGCTGCCCCAGGAGCAACTACCACACAGGCCCCAGTAGCAACTACCACAGTATCCCCAGGAGCAACAACCACAGCTGCCCCAGGAGCAACAGCCACACAGGCCCCAATAGCAACTACCACAGTAGCCCCAGGAGCAACAATCACAGTAGGCCCAGGAGCAACTAGCACAGCTGCCCCAGGAACAACTACCACAGCTTCCCCAGGGATAACCACTACCACAACAACAGTAGTGGATGAAACAGTAGTAGTAGCTACAGCAGTTCCACCAGCAGCCTCAGCCCCAGAGCCAACAACTGCTGCCTCCTCTGCAGTCACGAATAAAACCAGTTTACTTTTAGTCATAGCAGTTTTTACAGCAATTCTTTGTAATTAAGAACTTGACATGAACAAGGGACTAATTCCTACAGCCTTTAGCCCCTATCCATAGGCTTACTATGTTGTTCATTACTTATTTGACTTCACCTGTTCTTTTAAATATGTCTTATGTTTGAACATACTTTATCTGTGACTCTTATTTTTTCAAAATACAAAACTAATTTCATGAGAACAGATAAAGTACATATTGCACACCAATTAAGTGTACTGACAAACATATATACATATATATGCATATTTTTTTGACATAACACAAGCTTAGACACACAACTTTTACTAACTGCTTGACACTGACAGAGAACCATATGAACCACATACAGTGAGCAGGCACAATATAAAAGCTCTTACATCTAATGTAATCAAGGAGAGATTTAATATCCATAGTCGAGTTATTTTGTATTTGATTGCATTACACTGTAAGGAACATTGTCTAGCATTCTGTGGTGATTGCTCTGTAGTGTACATTTGTATATATATATGTTAAAATGCAATATTTAATGTATTAAAGTGTAAAATGCAAATAACAAGTGTATTTTGTTTTTTCTTTTTCTTTTATTATTTATTTATTCACATTTGTTTCTGTTAGGATTGTGTAGTAAACCCATGGTGTATAATAATTTTAATTCAACAGACAAGTGTAAGTAGCAATGACTCCTAAATTTTACCAAAAACATCACACAAAGTGACCTGTAAGCATTTTAAATAGTACTATACCACTAACAATTAAACTGCTGTCAAGGCTAGGGTAGTGCAGTGTGACTATTCATAAAGCTGTTAATAATATATCAGGATAAATATCTAAGTCTTCATTGACATTACAATATGAGGCAAGGTTGGCAATTTCTCATGAACTGCTGGTTGTGATAATAAAGTTATTGTTAATTAGTTCTGTATCACATTTCTTTGAAAAGGAATAGGCAAACGTTAAGAATAAAACCAAATACAAACAGTGCAAAAATCCGATTCTGACAGATGATATATTCTAAGATAAAATGTAAGATTTTTTAATTTTTATTTATATTATTCTATTACTTTTTCTCAAGGGTCACCAGCAAGTTGACATATTTTGAGTTTATTGCAGTTTTGCAAAGATAAAACGTGATATTGCACATTTATCATGAAGTCCAAGCAAAAGTGAAGTCCCCCCCATCACACCAGGGTTAACCAGAAGATATGTGTGCCACTTGAATTAATTGAAGAGCTGAACAGACGTACTTTGTTCCCCGTTTTCTTCAACCATGTCATGATTCATTTTCATCTCCTTGTTCATACTAGCCCATCTCCGGTATTTTTTGACAAGCCTTGTTTGATTTGGCAAGAATCAACAAATATTTGTTGGAACAGGCATCAGCTAGGTTATGCAACAGATGATTGACAAGTGCTCTGCTTTCTTCCAGAAGATGTAAATCAAACATTCAGCAGCGGTTATGGAAACATTGTCCACATTCATTGAATCTGTAGTGCAAAGTCAGTCTTCAACTCTACTGTGTGCTCAGTGGCCATAAACATCACCAAACATCACCGAAAACATTGTTACATTCCCTACTGCTGCACTGATTTAACATTGTGCTTCTTTTATTTACTTACATTCAATGACAAACTTTGCACTCGCATCAAGGACCTCTACCAAGGTAATCCATTAGTTCATGAAGGAGATTAGGCAGCACTCATCTGAGGTGCGTTAAAGATTTGTTAGTTTCAGTGTGTGTAAATCTTGTGTTTTTCAGCTTGTTACTTTTTCCCGGAACACCCAGTGTAATTCAGACCAAATCAAAGCCATGACAACCTTAAAACTCTGGTTCCTCTAGACTTAAAGGACCCAGATGTAGGATTTAGTGGCATCTAGCGGTGAGGTTGCAAATTGTACCCAACTGAATACAACTCCCCCTTCTAAGCCTGTAGGAGAAACACTGAAAGGCCCGATCTAGAGCCAACATTTGGTTTGTCCATTCTGGGCTACTGCAGAAACATGGAGGTTCAACATGGTGGACTGTCAGCCAACCAGTGTTTTTGTTCCCGACATAATATATCAACAAAATAAAAGAAGGATGAATAAGCTATTAAAAGGGTGACCACACCTTACACACATTACTCATACAAATTATTTATATCTTTGGTCTGAGCCTAATGTCATTCAACCTGCTTTGTGCAAATATATATAATACTGTAACAGCAAAGGATACTGAACAGGTGGAATCAGAGAGCATCACAACTTCAGTCACTGCAGTGAAGGCAAGTCAACATTAGACAAAATCTGTAAGTATTTCAATGATTAATATTTGTTCAGTTTCAATCAATGCAAGTTGTCTATCTTCAATTATACTTGAATTATACATTTGATCTTTATCAAGCGTGTGACTTTAAATGAACATCGTCAATTAGTTTTTTTCTGGAAGAAAACAGACACATTTTGAAAACTGTTTCTCATTTTTTAATTATTGTGTGTGACTACAGCTTAAGATATTTGGTTATTAGACTTTACAGTTTATTTGACTTATATTATTCCCAAAATAATGTAGATGTTGAAAAACATCACAAAACAATGATGACCCTTATTTGTCTGACCTAATATTAATTTTTTCTTGAAAGAAATGGGAGTAGTTTTCCTTTATATTACAGCTAACAAAGTAATATTGTCTTAAACACGCAGTGGATAATGAAATAAAACAAATACAATTATTGTCAGGATAAACTGTAAGTCTTACATTGTATACAGTTTGGTTATTCTGTGATTGACAATAAGGTCTGTTAGTTTAGATTAGTAAATAGTAAAAAACTGATGTGTCATATGATTGTTCTTTTGTTACTGTTGAAACTGAATCTAACAAAAAAATATTGTGTTGTCAAAACCCAAGCACCATTGAACAATTATGACAAAGATCTATTTTATCCTTCTCCTGTTTATTGGTGAGTCTGAGTAAATAATTCCCACTAAAATATGCTTATGCTTAGTGACTTGGTTTGAAATCTGACTTCAAAATCTGAGTGTTATACTTATCCAACCTGATCCATCCAGCCTCAGGCAATGGACAGGGCAATCAATCAACAACTACAATGGCTCCAACAAACACAACAGCTGTCCCGACAACAACCACAGTGGCTCCAATGACAACTGCAGCGGCTCCGACAACAACCACAGCTGCTACAACAGCAACAGCTGCCGTGACAACAATCACAGCTTCTCCAGCAACCAGCACAGTAGCTCAAACAACCACAGCTGCTGCTCCAACAACCACCACAGTAGCTCAAACAACAACCACAGTCGCTCTAACAACCACCAAAGTAGCTCAATGAACAACCACAATGGCTCCAACGACCACCACAGTACCTCCAACAACAACCACAGCTGCTCGAACAGCAACAGCTGCCCCATCAATAACCAAAGCTTCTACAACAGCAGCTGCCCTGACAACAACTACAGCTTCTCCAACAACAAACACAGCTGCTACAACAACGACAGCTGGCCCGACAATAACCACAGCTGCTCCAACAACAACCGCTGCCCAGACAACAACCACAGTGTCTCCAACAACAACCACATATGCTCCAACAACCACCACAGTAGCTCAAACAACAACCACAGTGGCTCCAACAACCACCACAGTAGCTCAAACAACCACAATGGCTCCAACAACAACAGCTGCCCCGACAACAACCACAGCTGCTCCAACAACCACAGGTTCTCCAACAAGCAACACAGTAGATCAAACAACCAAACCTACTCCAACAACCCCCACAGTAGCTCCAACAACAACCACAGCTGCTACAACAATGACAGTTGCCCCGACAATAACCAAATCTGCTCCAACAACAAAGGCTGCCCAGACAACAACCACAGCGGCTCCGACAAAAACTGCAGCGGCTCCAACAACAACCACAGTTGCTCCAACAACAATAGCTCCCCCGACAATAACCACAGCTGCTCCAACAGCAACAGCTGCCCTGACAACAAGCACAGCTGCTCCAACAACAACAGAGGGGTATTGCACAAAAGTAGAATAAAGAAATCCAGGATAATTGAGCAAGCGCGGCTTGACCTAGCCTGCTTGGCGTATCATGGCTTAATTGGTTGCACGTTTGCTGAGCCAGGATTAAAAGGCGCGGCTATGTTAAGCCAGGTGTAGACAGTGGGGATAAGTGCGTGTTCACGGCATACTGAAATAGACCTCGCGATCGCTCACAGAATCACAGATGGGAACATGGATAAGAGTTGTGCTTCATATTTCACGGCCGCTGAAAAACAGCTCCTGATGGAGTTCTATGAAGAGGTGAAAGATATAAGAAAAAAAGGCAATATCAATGCCAAAGTTAAAGAAAGAGAGAAAGCCTGGCAGACAATAGCGGACCGGCTTAATGCTTAAGTAGTCCAAAACTGCACAATGAATAAACAGTGCTCCACTGGAACTGTCATAATTAGGCTACAATTAAAGGACTAAAGGAGTTACTGTAAGTCCACTAATCAACTGTTGTACACTTTGCTTTAAATGTGGCAAGTAGTGGTGCATGTTACTTAAACGTAGAGTATGATTAAGTGCAAACAATTCATAAAGAACAAACTTGTCTGGCCATAAAAAGACCTGGCAGCAAGTTACATTAAAAATATTTAAAAAGTTAAATACAAGAACATTTTGCAGGCTGGTAAGTGACTTTAAAGTAGATTACAGTGAACAAATGAGGTGAATAGATTAGGTGTCTGCTGACATGTTGAATGTCTGTATGATTGTAGCAGTTAAAAAAAAAGCCCATAGAATTGGCACAGGGGGCGGCCCACCAAGCCAGGATATGTGCTGCGAATGGTTCCTTTATTGAGGTTCTCTGCATCCCCAACAGAACAAAGGAAGCTCCCACTTGCAAAACATCTCAATGTAACACAGACCATCTGTGGTAAATTGAGAGCATGGCTTCCTGCCATCTGGTGCTGTATTTTTGGACCCAGCAGCCTACATAAATATCTCAGTCCATCACCTGAGAATCTGTATCTCTCAATGAGATAGTCATCTCCAACGGCCAATGGGTCTGACCTGTCCCGGAAGACTCTTTCATGCCTAAATGCTCGTCTGAGGATTAGGGCTTCCTCATCCAGTACATCCTCCAAGAAAGGGCAAGCCATTATGAAGAGGGAACAGGTGAATGGGAGTTGGATAGATAGATAGATAGATAGATAGATAGATAGATAGATAGATAGATAGATAGATAGATAGATAGATAGATAGATAGATATTCCTTTATTTGTCCCACAATGAGGAAATTTCAATGTAACAGCAGCAAAGTGGATAGAGACAAAACAGTATAAATGAACAGTAAGAGTAGGGAAATAATAAAAAACACTATGTACTAGATGTATATGTATATATATATATATATATATATATATATATACATACACATATACATATTCTATATTGCCCTTGTCACAGATTTCATTGAAAACACTTTTACAACTTCATCAGCTGTGTTTTGTAATTTCAATTACTGCAATAAAACACATATTTATGAAACCTCTGATGGCATTTTTACAAGCAGTCTTCATTAGCATAGCAATATAAGACTTGTCCTGAGTAATAATACTACCACTTGAATCAATAAAAAAAGACTGTTGCAATTACAAACAGCCAACAGATTTAAATGAAATGACAAATGACAATATGTGACCTGCTCCATCATTTTGTGTCTAAACAGATCTGTCAGCCAACCAGTGTTTCATTTCCCTACATAACATATTATCATAATAAAAAAGGATGTTTAGTTATTCCTCTGCCTCATTTAATGATAGTGGTACATGTATAAAGTGTAGTTTATTCACTGCGCTGGAGGCGGGGCTTAGTGAACTAGAAGTACGGTACCGCACCACAGAATTATCTTTAGCCGCTATAGTTAGCCAGCCCCCAGTAGTCGGTGCAGGCCAACCGAAGGTAGCTTCTGTTAGCCGTCCTCCGGTAGTTCCCGAGCAGCCGGGAAGCCAGGGAGAGTGGGTGACTGGACGGAGGGAGAACAAACCACCGAAGCCCACAGTTCACCACAAACAGATTCACGTTTCCAATACATTTTCCCCACTCAGCGACACACCCGCTGAGGAACCAACTCTGGTAATTGGCAGCTCCATAGTCAGAAACATGAAGTTAGCGAAGCCAGCGACCATAGTTAAGTGTATCCTTTCCTATCTGACCATTATTTAATAACTTTTGAATTCATACTATTAGATTATAAGCCATTAGGCAAAACTTCCTACAGCAGATGTCTATCTGACAGTGCTGTAGCTAAATTTAAGGAGGAGATTCCTTCAGTGTTTAATTCAATGCCATGTCTGAATTTAACAGAGTCCTATAACGACTTTAGTCCCTCTGAAATTGATAATCTTGTCGATAGTGCTACAGGCTCACTACGATCAACATTAGACTCTATCGCTCCTATAAAAAGGAAATTATTAAAACATAGGAGACTAGCACCTTGGTACAACCACCAAACCCGCCAGTTAAAACAAATAGCTAGGAAATCTGAAAGGAAATGGCGCTCTTCCAAATTATCAGAATATCGCTCAAATTGGCAAGATGATCTTAAGATTTATAGAAAGGCCCTCCGTAATGCCAGAGGAGCCTATTACTCAGCACTAATAGAAGAAAATAAGAACAACCCTAGGTTCCTCTTCAGCACTGTAGCCAGGCTGACAGAGAGTCACAGCTCTATCGAGCCACATATCCCCATAAACTTAAGTAGCAATGACTTCATGAGCTTCTTCTATAATAAAATTATTACTATTAGAGAAAAAATTAATCACCAACTGCCATCAACAGTTATCAGTGGCTCTCCAAGTTCAGGGACTTCTGTCAATGTAAACTTAGATGTATATTTAGACTGTTTTTCTGCTATCGATCTTCATCAGTTAACTTCAATCATTTCTTCATCGAAGCCATCAACCTGTCTATTAGACCCGATCCCAACTAGGCTGCTTAAAGAAGTTGTTCCCTTAATTGGCACTTCTTTACTGGATATGATTAATCTTTCTTTATTATCAGGATATGTACCACAGTCCTTTAAAGTAGCTGTAATTAAACCCCTTCTTAAAAAGCCCACTCTTGACCCAGGGGTTTTAGCCAACTATAGACCGATTTCTAACCTCCCCTTCCTCTCTAAGATTCTGGAGAAAGTATTCGCCAAAGAGTTGTGTGACTTTCTACATAACAATAGTTTATTTGAGGATTTTCAGTCAGGATTTAGAGTTCATCATAGCACAGAGACAGCTCTGGTTAAAGTTAATAATGACCTTCTGACTGCTTCTGACAATGGACTTGTCTCTGTACTTGTATTATTAGATCTTAGTGCTGCATTTGACACCATTGACCATGATATTCTTTTACAGAGACTTGAGCATCAAATTGGCATTAAAGGAACTGCCCTAACCTGGTTTAAGTCATACTTATCAGATCGTTCTCAGTTTGTACATGTTAACGATGAATCCTCCATAAATACTAAAGTTAGTCATGGAGTTCCACAAGGTTCTGTACTTGGACCAATACTATTTACTTTATATATGCTCCCTTTAGGCAACATTATTAGGAATCACACCATTAACTTTCACTGTTATGCAGATGATACGCAGTTATATCTATCAATCAAACCCAATGAAATTAATCAATTATCTAAATTACAAACATGTCTTAAGGACATAAAATCCTGGATGACCTGCAATTTTCTGATGTTAAACTCAGAAAAAAACGAAATTCTTGTTCTTGGCCCCAAAAACCTTAGAGACTCATTGTCTAAAGATATAGTCACTCTAGATGGCATTAACTTGGCCTCTAGCACCACTGTCAGGAATCTTGGAGTTATCTTTGATCAGGATTTGTCATTTAACTCCCACATAAAGCAGACCTCTAGGACTGCTTTCTTTCATTTACGTAATATTAGCAAAATTAGACACATACTATCACAGACAGATGCAGAAAAACTAATCCATGCATTTGTTACTTCAAGGCTGGATTACTGCAACCCTTATTATCAGGTTGCCCCAATAAGTCCATTAAAACGCTCCAATTAATTCAGAACGCTGCAGCACGAGTACTGACAGGAACTAGAAAAAGAGATCACATCTCTCCTGTACTAGCTACTCTGCATTGGCTCCCTATAAAATGTAGAATAGAATTTAAAATCCTCCTCCTCACCTATAAAGCTCTTCACGGTCAGGCCCCTTCATATCTTAAAGAGCTCATAGTACCCTATTACCCCACTAGAACACTACGTTCTCTGAATGCTGGGCTACTTGTGGTTCCTATAGTCTCTAAAAGTAGAACAGGAGCCAGAGCCTTCAGTTACCAAGCTCCTCTCCTGTGGAACCAGCTTCCAGTTGTGGTTCGGGAGGCAGACACCCTCACCACATTCAAGAGTAGGCTTAAGACATTCCTCTTTGATAAAGCTTATAGTTAGGGCTGGATCAGGTGAGTCCTGAACCATCCCTTAGTTATGCTGCTATAGGCCTAGACTATCGGGGGATTTCCCATGGTGCACTGAGATACTCTCTTCCTCTCTCTTTCTGCACTCATTCATGTCCCTTTAATGCATGTTACTAACTCCACTTCTTCCCCGGAGTTCTTGTGCTTTCTTGTCTCGCAGGTTCTCATGGATCCTGGTGGAGCCTCCTGCCATGGTCCTGCTTGACTGCCATTGCCAATACTGTTGTTGCTGTGCACCTGTCTGTCTGTCTGTCTCTCGCTCTCTCTCTCTGCCCTCTCTCTCTCTCTCTCTCTCTCTCTCTCTCTCTCTCTCTCTCTCTCGCTCTCTCTCTCACCCCAACTAGTCGAGACAGACGACCACCCACCTAGAGCCGGAGGATCTGTCCTAGGTTTCTGCCTTTTAACAGGCAGTTTTTCCTTGCCCTTGTCGCCAAGTGCTTGCTCATGGTGGTACTGTTGGGTCTCTGTAATTAATGTTAAAGAGTTCGGTCTAGACCTGCTCTATTTGAAAAGTGTCCTGAGATAACTTCTGTTATGAATTGGCGCTATACAAATAAAATTGAATTGAATTGAATTGAATTGAATTGTATCCCTGGGGCCAGAGCGGGCGACATCGAATCCTATTTAAAGCTGCTGGCGAAAGATAAACATAAATATAATGAGATAGTTATTCACGTCGGCGGTAATGACACCCAATCACACCAATCGGAGGTCACCAAAATTAATGTGGAGTCGGTGTGTAATTATGCAAAAACAATGTTGGACTCGGTAGTTTTCTCTGGACCCCTCCCCAATGTGACCAGTGATGACATAGCCGCATGTTGTCATTCCACCGCTGGCTGTCGAGGTGGTGTCCAGCAAACAATGTGGGCTTCATTGATAACTGGAAGCCTTTTTGGGGAAAACCTGGTCTGATTAGGAGAGACGGCATCCATCCCACTTTGGATGGAGTTTATTTCTAAAACCTGACAGTCCAGAGTTAGGACCAGGAAGCAGAGCTGCTGTCTTACACACTTCTCTGCTCTTCCATTAGAACAGTCACCCACCCAAAACCCCATAGAGACTGTGTCTGTCCCCCGACCACCTAAATTATTTAAAGAAATAAAAACAAGAGGAATTAAACATAAAAACCTAATAGAAATTAAAACCGACTCCTCAGTAGCACAAAATAAGAGAATGAAATGTGGGCTGTTAAATATCAGGTCTCTGTCCTCTAAAGCTGTTTTAGTGAATGAGTTAATATCAGATCATGATATTGATTTACTTTGTCTTACTGAGACCTGGTTGTCCCACGAGGAGTATGTTAGCCTAAATGAATCCACCCCCCCCAGTCATATTAATACTCACATTCCTCGAGGCACAGGCCGAGGAGGTGGAGTAGCAGCCATATATGATTCGAGCGTTTTAATGGACCCTAAACCTAAACTAAATTATAATTCATTTGAAAGCCTTGTTCTTAGTCTTTCTCACCCAAACTGGAAAACACTGCAGCCAGTTCTATTTGTTATAGTGTACCGCGCTCCTGGACCGTACTCTGATTTTATATCTGAATTCTCAGAGTTTCTATCAAGTTTAGTCCTTAAATCAGATAAAGTAATTATTGTAGGTGATTTTAATATTCATGTGGATGTTAACAATGACAGCCTTAGTAACGCATTTCTATCATTAATAGACTCAATTGGCTTCTGTCAGAGTGTAAATAAACCAACTCATTGTTTTAATCACACTCTCTACTTCGTTCTATCATATGGCATTGATATTGAAGTCTTCCCACATAATCCTCGATATTGGCGTTTCTGCCGATATCCGATATTCTGATATTGTCCAACTCTCAATTTCCGATACCGATATCACCCGATACCGATATATGCAGGCTTTTTACAAAACTGTTAGGTAACAACATAACATATCTCCTGTTGTGGAATTAACACATTATGCCTCATTTTATTGTGATGCCCCACTGGATGCATACATAAATGCAACATGGATTTCCAAATGTAAACACTGTCTGTGCAAAATAAGAGAACAACTTCAACTTTCATTGTATTAATACTGAAAAGAGCGCTAATGCTAATCGCTAGCTACGCGCTAATCGCTAGCTAAGCTTTAATCGCTAGCTAAGCTTTAATCGCTAGCTAAGCTTTAATCGCTAGCTAAGCGCTAGCTTTGGTTAATGTGTTTGTGTTAATATTAAAATCATTCAGCTTTAAATTGTTTGCTTGTTAGCCACGGTTAGCAACCAACCAGTGTAGCGTAGTTGTTGTTGTTA